GATGTTGTGTTCTTTCTGCAGTATGAGCATCCTCCTTGATCAGAGCCTCCTTGATGCATACTTGCCTCAGATGCTGAATTGGCATCAGCTTATCTCGTCTAATTTTCAAGTTGTGCTTCTGTTTGAAGTGTGTCCAGCGAAGTGGTTGGAATACTCATGGCATCTCGCGCAGCTGTCCTGAGTTGTGGTGTTTGCGGCCTGCAACTCAGAGTCCACATGCAAAACGGCTAAGGGATATATAGGGATGATGGAAAAGGAAACGGATACTACTATTCAGAGTTTACGGGGGGCACCTTGCCCTGCGATGGCGGCATAAGAGGAAAATGAGAGGACCCTAAACGAATCGCCATTCTCCCTTATAGTCCCTATTACTGGGTGTGAGGTCCACCTAGCAACCAACAAAGCATCAAGCAGTGGCAGATGAGCGCCATCGTAGGTCCCTGGTTTGCTGTTAAGGAACTTACGTTACCAAAATATGGGTATATAGGGCTTTCAGGGCTTAGGGTTGAGGGTTCAGGGTGACATGCTAAGACAGGATCGCCAATATAAAGCCATGCAGCGGGCAATCCCCACAACCCGACTTGCAACCTTCATTAAACGGGACGCTAAAGCCCTGAGCCAATCTAGCCCGGAATGCGACAGACCAAGGAGCTGGGTGTCCGAAACTCCAAACTGCTGGAATGCTACTGCCGGTGCGATCATCGAGTTTCAACGTGGGTTCGGCTGAATTATTCCTGCTTCAGCGCTGCGCCTGCCTCCGCCAGAGTTTCCAGAAGTTGCGGACCCCCTCTGAATTTTAGGAGTCCATGCGATAGGAACCACTACGGGGGTCCATGTTTGGCCCTGCACTTACGGAAGCCACCTGTTGCCCTGGGGTCACCATTGGAGTCCCGGTGAGGAGGCTCAGGATTAGGCTCAAAATGGATGCTGGATCAGAGCATGCAGAATTTGCGCAGGTGGGATTTTTAGGATTTGCGCTGCATTTCGTCGATACGTGTCACTGCGGTATGCAAGAGCTGCGCTTGTCTGGATGTGACCGCAATGTGCAGTTTAATCTTTTTCCTGTCCCAGGTTGGGCAAGCTGGTGCAGCTTGGCTCAAAGCCGCTGTGTGTGCAGTACCTCCTCGTTGTTGACGCGAGATGCAGAGGTTGGGAGATGTGGTATAGTCCTTAATAGGGACCCCCAAAAGGGTACCCTAATTTTGGGAAACCCCCATGTGCTGCTGTAGAAGACCTCGCTGCGCAATGCTGCTTGCTGCCACCGAGGAAGGACTGGGCCAAGCGCTTTGACATGGTCAGCAGCACAGACGGCTGCCTGAACAGCTATGCGCGGCTTGGCCAAGATCCTGGAGTTGCTTAGGCACAAGCCGGTAAGAATAGTAATAATCGTGAGAATAATCAGAATAATGTTCACTTCGTATTAATAAAAGGGGCCCCCCCCCCCACACCCCCCCTTGAATGATCTATCTCCGTCCCGGGAGACCCCCGTAATAATAATGCCAGAAATGTACGTTAGAAAGCCTATTAGAGTTAATTGAAATTTAATTGAAATCCTTGTCCCGACAAATATTACGCGTTTGGGGGATATAATTGTGGGGGTTATTACAATTGTGTTCCGGGCCCGGGATTTTATAAATGTAGGGGTAGTTCTTAATAT